GTGTGTGTGTGTGTGTGTGTGTGTGTGTGTGTGTGTGTGTGTGTGTGTGTGTGTGTGTGTGTGAGATACAAGCCGTCTTATCGCTTAATTTGTATCGTGTATGACTGTCTATCGCATAAATTGACCTACGCAACATCTTATCTTAAAATGTTTCGTTTATTATTCTTAATATTCTTAAAATACTTCGCTTATAAAATGTGCAATTATAGATTGCTAAAGTTTGTAATTGTAGTATACTTTGACAAAGTGCACAATTACTTCTATATTAAAAGTTTAGCATTCAATTTCCTGTATGTCATGTTCAACCGATAATTTTGCGATGCGAAGTTATTTTTATATATATATATATATATACGTATAACAATATTAAACTCATAAAACTGAAATTTATCAAAGTGCGACTTGGAATACTTTATTCGCAAAAAGCAAATAAAGAATAAAATTATATAAGACAAATTTTTTAACGATAAAGAATTATAGAGGAAATATATTATCTTTACAAAACCATTGAGATATTAAATTACCAACATTTCTTTGATACGTTTGTTAAATTTTGTATATGTATACAATGTAAAAAGTAACATAATACTACATTTGTCAATCTTTTAATACTAGAAGTCAATAGAAAAGAAAATGTAGATCCCGATACATTAGGAGTGATTTTAAATATTAATAAGCATAAGATAATAATAAGCATATTTTTTAATCTTATGTAATTTCAAATTAAATTTTAGGCATATCTTTGTGTGTATCATACATATTTAAAATAATCAGTTGACAACGTCGCATGAGATTAATAACGATGTTGATGCAATTATTATTCTTAATTCTCTTAATCGTTATTGATTATGGTGAGTATTCTAAGATAAATTGATCAGTTTTATTTTTGTGTGTGTGTGTGTGTGTGTGTGTGTGTGTGTGTGTGTGTGTGTGTGTGTGTGTGTGTGTGTGCGTGCGATGTGTGTATGTTTATGTAATCATTTAATTTAATTCATAAATATAATAACAAATCTTATACAGGTGCATCAATGAAATTAGTAACGAGAATTATAGGAGGAAAACGTGCCTGTCGAGGTGAAATCCCATATCAAGTAAGCCAATAAAACATTTTTAATCAATATTAATTTTAATTTTATTAATTGCTTGGGTTTAAAAATATGTCTCGAATTTTCAAGTTTAGTCGAAGAATTAGTTGACTACTTTCAGCAATTTAAATTTCTGACAATAATGATTTAAATAATTCTAACAATATCATTTGTAAGATTAGACGTATATTAATATTAGAAATTTTTATATGCCTCCTGCATAACATGCATTTTATAATTCAGATTTCTCTGCAAAATGAAAATGACATACATTTCTGCGGTGGAGTTATAATTAACAAGTATTACGTGCTAACCGCTGCTCACTGTGTATCTAAGTAAGTAGGAAAATCTCAAGAAACTTCGGAGAAATAAACTATATACAGGATATATTTAACTTAATAGTCCGCATAATTTTTTAGACACTTTTGTAATAGTAGTTTCTCAGTA